TGCTCTCTCTTCCCCCCCCCTTCTAGGGAAGGGGGCTCCTTCCCGACCCCTTCCTTGGCACACGGGTGCCCCTTCGGCCCCTAAGCAGAGCGGAGGCCGTCCCGGCAGTGGCTCAGCCCCCTCGTGTCTTTCTCCCTAGGAGCGTCGGCGTCATCACGTACATCCTGTAAGTGTCCGGCGTCCCTCGGCTCCCTGTGGCAGGAGGGAGGGAGGGAGGGAGGCGAGAAGGGCCCAAGGGTAGGAGGAGCAGACTCCAAGGCTGAGCACCCCTCAGTTTGGGGGCGGGTTGGGGTGGGAGGGAGGGAGGTAGGGAGGCGTCTCTCGAGCCTTGGCTGAAGGAATGGGGCAGGGCCCCCTCGCTCAAGGGTGTCAGGAGCATTTCTGAAAAGAGGGGACCTGCTCCGCCGGCTCGCTGGAAGGCTAGGAAGATGGAGCTGCTCTCCTGGTGGCCCTCTTGATGGGTCATGTGGGAAAAAAGCTTGGAGAGGAAGTGGGTCAGGAAGAAAACTGCCCCCCCCCCACTCGGCTGAGCAGAGCTGAGCGGTGGAGTGAATCCTGGCCCCTCGCTAGGCCCGAGATTCTGCCCTACCCACGGCCACTTTTCTGGCCGGCTGCAGAGGAGGAAGAGGTGAGCCCAAGAGGGAGCGTCGCCTCTCCTCAACAGCCGGCCTGTTGAGAGACGGCTTTGGAATGGTCGCGTTTCTTTCAAGGTTTAAAATGGGTTTGAGTCGGCCGTGCGAGATGCTCCTTTCTCCTCCGGCAGGCTGAGCGGCATGTCCCCTTTCCAGGGGGAGACGGATGCCGAGACCCTTGCCAACGTCGTCTCCGGAAACTACGAGTTCGAGGAGAAATACTTCAGCCAGACGTCGGAGATGGCCAAGGACTTCATCCGGCAGCTTCTGCTGAAGGAGCCAGGGTAGCCGCCCTCCGGTCCTTGCCGGGACCCCTCCCAGAGCCCCTGGGGTTGGGGGGGGCGGGGTGTCCTCGGCCTTGGCTTCTCTCCCTGGGGAATGGGGCTTTCTGTGGGGCCAACGGGCTTTGCTTATAAGGACTTGTGGGGCGCGGCAGGACCCCTTGTGCCTGGAACAGTATGTGCGTATATAGCTGAGCCTTCCCCTCGCCACACAGCAGAGCTCCGGGTGCGGACGGGCTGCATTTCCCTTCCAAACGGACACCTGCGAGGGAGAAAGTTGGTGTCCCTTGGCTTGGCTTGGCTTCCCTTCCCTGCTCCCCCAAGGCCACCCTCTCCAGCCCCATGGCTGTCAGTTGCCTTGCAGACAGGCAGAGGACTGGGAAGAGCCAGGCAAAATCCCAAGGCCTGGCCCTGGTGGGGGGGCTGCCTCCTCCCGCCTCCCAGCTGGGGCAGGAGAAGTGGGCCCTTTCCTCTGCGCGCGGGGTGGGTGGGAGGCAAAGGAGGACAGAGCAGGGCTAAAAGCACCTTTTCTGTCTTCCAGGGACCGAATGACGGCCAGCGAGTGCCTCGTCCACTCGTGGATCAAGGTGAGAACCGGGGGTGGGAGGAGAGGATGAGAGAGGCAGCCCCCTCCTCGGCTGCGGGGGGGGGTCCATGGCCAGCCCTCCCAGCCCCTGGTTGTGGCCAAGGCAGACACGAGAGAGCGCCGGGCGCTGTGCTCTCCTCTTCTGCTCAGCCTTTGGGGATCAAAGGGGGTCCATGAGGAGGAACGCCTGCAAGTCCGCCCCCCCCCCATCATCCACCCACTCCCACCCCTGGGGGATTCAGGCAAGCAAGGCATCTTTGGAGGGCTTCCAGGGGAGGGAGGGACCACCCGCCCCACCCCACCCCACCCATTCCCTGGGCCCTTCAGCTGCCACCCTCTTTGCCCTTCAGCCTCTTCCGTGGCGAACACGGTCTCTGTGCTCGGCCAACCCTGGCCACAAAGTGGGCTCCTTTGTCAAACCTCGCCTGGACGCTCCTCAGGGGCCATTCCACCCTGTGCCCCCCCCCATGTGGAATAAAAAGGAGGGTGCAGGTCTTTGGGGTGTGGTGGACGTTGGAGGGCCCTGTTTTTCTCCCCGCTGCAGCCCTTGAGCCGCAAGCAGGCCACCCACCGCAGCCGCTCCTCCATCAACATGAAGAACTTCCGCAGGTTCAACGCGCGCCGAAAGTGGAAGGTGAGTGGAGGGAGGGGCGCGCTCTGGAGGCCTCGGGGCTGCCTCGGCCGGCCCTCCTCGCCCAGTGTTTCACAGGAGGTCCCCTCCCGGCACCCCTCGCCCTGGGCCCAGCTAGTCAAAGCCCCAAACCTCTGGAGGGGCTGAGGGGGAGAACTGGGGCCCGGGAGCCCTCCTGGCATTTGACTCCGTGGCAGGCCGTTTAGAAGGGCAAAGGGCAGCTGGGTGGGAGGCTGGAGAGGGTGGCCTTTCTCCTTCTCTCTCTCTCTCTCTCTCTGTGTGTGTGAGAGAGAGAAAGGCCAGCAGCGCCTCCACCCGCTCCCTGCTCTCTTTCTCTCCTGCCCGCAATTCCAGCTCTCCTTCCACATGGTCTCCGCCTGCAGCCGCCTGTGCCAGTTGAGCCGCCTGTGCCAGCAGAGGAGGAAGGAGGAAGAGGAAAACCTGGTGGGTGCCGTCTCTTCCCTCTCTGGGGGAAGGTGGGGGGGCAGGCGGGACGGCCCCCGTTAGGTCGCCCTCGTCCCTCACATGGCCCTTCTCTCCCCCAAACAGCGGGACTGTGAGAGTGACCAGGAGGAGACGTCCGGAAGCCCCGTGGCCCTGCTCCGCAGGCGGAGAAGCATCTCTTCCTGAACGGGGGGGGGGCTCGCTCACGTCGCCCCAGGAGGGCCCTCACCTTGCTTGGAGGGGGGCCTCTCACATCGTTTTTCCTGAGTGAAGACGCCGGCCGGCCGGCTGGTCTTTTCAGCGTCAGGAACACGCCACCCAGAGGACGGATCTGCGCTCCCCCCCCCGGCACCTCTTCCAGCCACCGGCCAGCGGTCTCCCTGTTGTGGTCCCAGCCTGACCAGGGGCTGTGGGACTGTGGGTGTGAGCGAAGGGAGGGTGGCCCCTTGGGTGGGCTAGAGTGGAGGGGGCGTTTCGGGGCTTCTTGGGAGGCCTTCTCCCTCCCTGCACAGCAGAGCAGGCGGCCTCCGTTCCTCCCCTGCCTTGACTCATGCTTTAAGGAGCTCTGTTGCAAGTTACAGCCACAGGTGCCTTTTCAAGGCTAGGCAGTGTGTGTGTGTGTGTGGGGGGGGGAGCCCTTCCCATCCCTTTCCCTCAGTGCCACGTTCCCCTTCGGTCCAAAGGGTCTCGAGTGAGGTCGGGGGCTGGACACGGTCAAGCAATCCTCGCTTTTCTTTTACATAAGGAGGTTTAAAAGGGACCAGATACATCACTTCTTTCTTTCAGTCCTGTTTTATGCTGAAGTTGGTAAATGTTAATGCTGAGGGACGGGGCACCTGCTTTAGTCACACTCCAGCCGAGGGGCTCAGAAGGCGAGGAAGCCTTTCTCGAGTGAGGTCGGGGGCTGGACACGGTCAAGCAATCCTCGCTTTTCTTTTACATAAGGAGGTTTAAAAGGGACCAGATACATCACTTCTTTCTTTCAGTCCTGTTTTATGCTGAAGTTGGTAAATGTTAATGCTGAGGGACGGGGCACCTGCTTTAGTCACACTCCAGCCGAGGGGCTCAGAAGGCGAGGAAGCCTTTGCTGCTCTGCTCACTCCGAGGGATGTGAGTGTCTCCCGAGGGTCCGGGGTCCTCTTTTGCCCTCCTCGGCCGTCCACCCGGAGGAGAGCAGAGCTTTTGGCAGTGAATGGAGGGCGTTTCAAACGGAGGGTTTTGCCTTGTTGCTTTGAATCTGTTTTTGGTGTAGAATTTGATTACTGCTTTCAGTGTAGTATTTCTTTTTTTAAATATTTGTATATTTCCAGTTTTTAGCCTTTAAATATTCTCTTTTAAATATGTAAGCCACGTTTGGTCCTTTTAAAGAGAAAGTTGGGGTAAAAATATTTTAAGGAAATAAAGAAATACCTTCAAAAGGGCAATTGATTCTTCTTGAAGGTGAGAGTTCGTGACTTGTCATTTCATCCCTTCAGGCGTTTTTAATAAATGTGTTTATTTTTGTTTTGGCTAAGAGATGGCTTTTTAAGAAGCAGAAGATATCCAGAGCAGGCAGAAACACCAGAGAGAGAACGGGTAGAATCCTGGTCTAACCTTCCTCTTTATGCCATCGGCCTTTTCTGGAGACAGCCACACTTTCTTAATCTGCCCATTCGAGGGCAGTATTGCTCAAGGATCTGGACATTTCAAGGGTGCAGCAGCCATTTATTTCTCCTGCTGGACTAGGACTCATACTGCCCTCTGGTGGCCCCCAAAATAATGGCAGGCTGCATCCAGAAATATCGAGGATTTTTTTACATTATACTGCCATCTGGTGGCCGCTAAAAATAATGGCAGGCTGCCCCCAGAAATGCCCAGGGTTTTTTTACATTATACTGCCATCTGGTGGCCGCTAAAAATAATGGCAGGCTGCCCCCAGAAATGCCCAGGGTTTTTTTACATTATACTGCCATCTGGTGGCCGCTAAAAATAATGGCAGGCTGCCCCCAGAAATGCCCAGGGTTTTTTTACATTATACTGCCATCTGGTGGCCGCTAAAAATAATGGCAGGCTGCCCCCAGAAATGCCCAGGGTTTTTTTACATTATACTGCCATCTGGTGGCCGCTAAAAATAATGGCAGGCTGCCCCCAGAAATGCCCAGGGTTTTTTTACATTATACTGCCATCTGGTGGCCGCTAAAAATAATGGCAGGCTGCATCCAGAAATATCCAGGTTTTTTTTACATTATACTGCCATCTGGTGGCCCCCAAAATAATGGCAGGCTGCACCCAGAAATGCCCAGGTTTTTTTTACAATTATACTGCCCTCTGGTGGCCCCCAAAATAATGGCAGGCTGCACCCCAAAAATGTGCAGGTTTTTAAAACAATACTCCCTCCTGGTAGCCCCAAAAATAAAGGCATGTTACACCCCTTGTATGGACTATTCTTCCTGTGACATTGCTCCATTTTGCCTCTAAAATAAGGCAGGCTGTACCCCTAAAACTGCCATTGTGTTTGTGGGATACTGCCCTTTTCATTTGTTGGTCCACTCGAGGCCCCCATGACACAAGAAGCGGGTGCTGTGACTCATTCTTGTGTGTTCTGTGGGGTCCCTAAATGGTCTGATCCACTTTGTAGGGGGGGGAAACACCTTGGTACCCCATGTTTATCCAGAGTCATGCCTTGAGGGTTTTTGAAACTCTTCACTGTAGAAAAATGACTAAGAACAGAAAGCAAGCATGAGATTCTCAGGTACTGAGTACAGCCATATATTAACAGGATCAGGCCCTTTTTCTCCTCTCCCATCTCGGGTGGTAGAACCCGTGGCAATGTGGGCGAAGGCCTCTGCCCCGGCCTCAGCCTCTTCCTCCTCCTCCAGATCCCCATCCTGGGTGGGTCTTGCAGGCCCAGCCTGGCCTCCACTCGCCACCGCTTGTCTCAGATCGCCCACAGGTGGTATCTCTGGTCTCGGATGGAGTTGAGGCCTGCGTGGCAGCTGTGGAGGTCCTTCGAGCCTGCAAGTAGGAGAGCAGTCAGTAAGGGGCAGCAGAGGTATAAAAGCCCCACGGAAGGAGGGTTCCTGCACAAGGAGCCGTCACCCTGCACCTCCTCCTTCCTTTCTGCTTGGGGGTGAGTTCACCATAGTCTTGTCTCAAGCTGCATTGATTTAGCCTGCTTTGGCTAGACTCTCTCTCTCTCTCTCTCTCTCTCTCTGTTTGGGTGGGTGGGGAGGGGTATGGAACTGCTCCCACAACCCCCACATCTCATTCACCCACCCCTTTGCCAGTGTGTGCAAAAGTTCCTTTTTTCCAGAAAACAGCAACAGGCCTCCAAAAGGAAAGCAATTTGGCCCTGCGTGTTGCAGCCTCCAACTTGCTTCGTGCCCCATAGGTGGGTAGCCGAAGCACTCCAACCCTTCTGCCTAGCAGATGTTTTCTGGGTTTTTGGTTTTCGTTACAATATGGGCTCACACCTCCTCTCCTCCCTCCCCCTCTCACAGCCACTTGAAGGCAACAGGGTGGGTGGGAGCAGGGGCCTCTTCCTGGCATTCACAAACTGGAATTGTGGCTTTGGGGACTCAGGGGAGGGGTGGCCCCAGTTCTCTGATGATGGAGTCAAGGTCCAGGAACCTGGGCATGTGTTAGAAGGGGAAGCCAGCGCTTCAGGACAGTGTGAGCACTCCCACTTGGTTGCCCATTCAGTGGATGAAACAAGGGCAGTGACAGAAGGACCCAAGCCTTGCCCTGGGGCTGGGCCAGGCCAAAGGCCTCTCCTGGCCCCACGTCTGCAGCAACACATGCAAAAGAATTCCACCTGTATTTTCAACTGTCCAGGTTTGTCCCCTCCATGCCTGGAAAGGGTTAAGACCCTGAGACAGGTTGCCTGAAGGCCAGGAGTGAGGCTGCTGAAGACTCATGGGTCTCAGCTGCTGCCCCGGAGGAGGCCCCGCCCCGCCCTGTCCAGCTGCCTGAAACTGTTTGCAAGGGAGCCCCGCTTTCCTCTCTCTCTCTTCCAGCCGGCTGCCCACGTTGGGGGGGGGAGTGGCTCCCAGGAGATGGGGGAACGAGAAGCAACTCAGTGGCCACGAGTGGAAACAGGGCTGGGGAAGGGGATTTGTCCTGCCAGGGATCAGGATCCGGTCCTTCCTATGCCGGTTATCCAAAGAGACCCACAGGTATGTCCTTATTTTTCTCACTATTTTGGAAATGTGGGAGGTGGGTGGGAGTAGCAGGGTTGGGCCCTGACAGCCGTTTTCCTGCCTTGCCCTAAAGTTTCCTGTTGTGCCACCAGGCAGCTTTCTGGTTTGCGAAAGGGAAGCCCCACGGCTCCTGGGCCCTTTCGGGGGAGGGTTTCTTTTCTCTGTGGCCCCTCCAAGAGCCCCACAGGAGTCCTCCTGGCTGGAGGTACGAGGGGCTTTCTTCCACTGAGACAGCCGGCAAGGGGGGGAGGGAAGAGAGCTATTAATTTCTAGGGATCGTCAAAGAAAGCTCTCCTTGGCTTTCCACAGAGGCAGGTGAGGCCCCACCAGGAAGCTTGCACCCTGAGCACGAGACTTTTCCCTCTGCCCTGCCAACCTTCACACGGCCACAAAGCCCCCTGCTTACCTCCCCTGGGGAGGGGCTGCTTCGGCCGAGGGGTCCCCCTCCATCTCATCTTTGGCTTCTCTTCGCTCCTTCTTGCTGGGCTGCCTGGAAAGTGAGAGGAAGGGGTCAGTGTTGCCCAAGGGACCTGCCTTTGCAACCCAAAGGCCGGAACTCTGTAGGAAGATGGAAGGGTGAGTGGGTGGGCAGAG